TGATGCCCTGGGGGGGCAAAAAAATTGGGTATCAGAGCCCCCCGTGGAGGTTTTGGGGTGCCAAGCCCTCCACAGCCCCCTCAGGGTGACACAAACCCTGTCCCAGAATTTTTAGGGTACCCCCAACACCCCTAAACCCCTCCACAACCCCCTCAAGGTGACACAAACACAACCCTAATCCTGTCCCAGAATTTTTGGGGTGCCCCCAACACCCCCAAACTCTCTGAGACCTCCCCGGGGAGTTCAAACCCAACTCTCACCCCCGCCCCAGAATTTTTGGGGTACCCCCAACACCCCCAAACTCCTGCACAACCCCCTCAAGGTGACGAAAACACAATCCTAACCCTGTCCCAGAATTTTTGGGGTACCTCTAACACCCCCAAATCCTTCCATAACCCCCTCAGGGTGACACAAACCCTGTCCCAGAATTTTTGGGGTGCCCCCAACACCCCCAAACTCTCTGAGACCTCCCCGGGGAGTTCAAACCCAACTCTCACCCCCGTCCCAGAATTTTTGGGGTGCCCCCAACAACCCCAAACCCCTCCACAACCCCCTCAGGGTGACACAAACCCTGTCCCAGAATTATTGGGGTACCTCTAACACCCCTAAACTCTCTGAGACCTCCCAGGGGAGTTCAAACCCAACTCTCACCCCCGTCCCAGAATTTTTGGGGTGCCCCCAACACCCCTGAACCCCTCCACAACCCCCTCAAGGTGACATAAACACAACCCTAACCCTGTCCCAGAATTTTTAGGGTGCCCCCAACACCCCTAAACCCCTCCACAACCCCCTCAAGGTGACACAAACACAACCCTAACCCTGTCCCAGAATTTTTAGGGTGCCCCCAACACCCTCAAACCCCCTCAACGCGACACCCCCCTCCCTCCCCTACGCCCACCCCTCATTATTTTATATTTTTTTTTTTAAATTTTTTTTGGGGGGGGGGGTTTTCCCCCCACCTTTTCCAGCAGGGCCTTGCGCAGTTTGCGCTCCTCCTGCACGAGCACGAACATTTCCTTGTGCACGGCGGCCGCCAGGTTCAGGTCCAGCTTCTCGGGGCTCGCTGCCATCTTACAGATGAGCTCCTCGTGAGAGAACACGCAGTAACGGCGCAGGCGGCGGTAATGCTCGATGCACTGCCGGCCCGCGGGGAGCTGAGGGCGGAAAATGGGGTCAGGGGGTCCCCAAAAATCTGGGGGAACCCCCAAACAAAGCCCTGAACCCGACTGGAGAAATGGAGCTCGAACCGCTAAAGATGGGAGCCCCCCATGCATTGAACCGGGTAATGCTCGATGCACTGCCGGCCCGCGGGGAGCTGGAAGAGAAGAGGGGGGTCAGGGGGTCCCCAAAATCTGGGGGAACCCCCAAACATAGCCCTGAACCCGACTGGAGAAATGGAGCTCGAACCGCTAAAGCTGGGAGCCCCCCCATGCATTGAACCGGGTAATGCTCGATGCACTGACTGCCTGAAGGGAGCTGGAATGGGAAAATGGGGTCAGGGGGTCCCCAAAAATGGGGGGAACCCCTAAACACAGCCCTGAACCCGACTGGGTATCCCCAAACCTTGGAACCCCTCAGGAACCAGAACCCCTGAACCGGGTAATGCTCGATGCACTGACTGCCTGTGGGGAGCTGGAATGGGAAAATGGGGTCAGGGGGTCCCCAAAAATGGGGGGAGCCCCCAAACAAAGCCCTGAATCCGACTGGGTATCCCCAAACTTGGGAGCCCCCCCATAGAGTGAACCGGGTAATGCTCGAGGCACTGCCTGCCTGAAGGGAGCTGGAATGGGAGAGGGGGGTCAGGGGGTCCCCAAAAATGGGGGGAACCCCCAAACATAGCCCTGACCCCCACCGGGGGATCATAGACAAAACTGGACCCCCAAAGCTGGGAACCCCCCCATAGAGTGAACCGGGTAATGCTCGAGGCACTGCCGGCCCGCGGGGAGCTGAGGGCGGAAAATGGGGTCAGGGGGTCCCCAAAAATGGGGGGAACCCCCAAACACAGCCCTGAACCCGACTGGGAACCCCCAAAGCTGGGAGCCCCTCAGGAACCAGAACCCCTGAACCGGGTAATGCTCGATGCACTGACTGCCTGAAGGGAGCTCGAATGGGAAAATGGGGTCAGGGGGTCCCCAAAAATGGGGGGAACCCCCAAATACAGCCCTGAACCCCGCCAGGGGATCATAGACAAAACTGAACCCCCAAACTTGGGAGCCACCCCATAGAGTGAACCGGGTAATGCTCGATGCCCTGCCTGCCTGAAGGGAGCTGGAATGGGGAAATGGGGTCAGGGGGTCCCCAAAAATGGGGGGAACCCCCAAATACAGCCCTGAACCCGACTGGGTATCCCCAAACTTGGGAGCCCCCCCATAGAGTGAACCGGGTAATGCTCGATGCACTGACTGCCTGTGGGGAGCTGGAATGGGGAAAATGGGGTCAGGGGGTCCCCAAAAATGGGGAGACCCCCCCCAGACACCCTAAACAAAGCCCTGAACCCCGCTGGGAACCCCCAAACTTGGGAACCCCCAAAACTGAACCCCCAAACCTGGGCGCCCCCCATAGAGTGAACCGGGTAATGCTCCGTGCCCTGCCTGGATTGGGGAGGGATCAGGGGGTCCCCAAAAATCTGAGGGACCCCCCAAAACCCAACCCCTAAACCTGGGGGGGGTCACCCTGCACCCCCAAAACGCAGCCTTGGAGTTTCTGGGGCTTCTCTTTGTTTGTTTGTTTTTGTTCTGTTTTTTTTAATTTTTTTTGTTTGTTTGCTTTTGTTTCGGGTTTTTTTTTTTTTTTCGTTCTTTTTATTCTGCCAATTTTTTTGTTTCCTCTGAATATTTTTTTTTTTTTTAGTTCCTCCAGTTTTTTTTTTTTTATTCCCCCTGGATATTCTGTGCCCACCCCAGGTATTTTTTATCCCCTTTAAATTCTGAATTTTCCTTTCCTTTCACACCCTACACCAGCAAATTTTGCTTTTTCCCCTCTAAGATTTTTTTTTCATTTCCCCAGGAATTTTTTTATTGATTCCCCCACCAATTCTTCACCTCTCCAGCTCCATTCCTGACCCTCCCCAGGTATTTTTTATTCCCTTTAAATTTTAAATTCTCTTTTCCTTTTCCTCCAATTTCTCAATTTCCCTGCACACTTTTCTCTGCATTTCCCCAGGAATTTTTTTATTGAATCCCTCACCTATTCTGTGCCCTTCCAGGTAATTTTTATGCCCCTCCAGGTATTTTTTACCCCCTTTTAAATTTTAAATTCTCTTTTCCTTTTCCTCCAANTCACCTATTCTGTGCCCTTCCAGGTAATTTTTATGCCCCTCCAGGTATTTTTTACCCCCTTTTAAATTTTAAATTCTCTTTTCCTTTTCCTCCAATTTCTCAATTTCCCTGCACACTTTTCTCTGCATTTCCCCAGGAATTTTTTTATTGATTCCCCCACCTATTCTGTGCCCTTCCAGGTAATTTTTATGCCTCCCCAGGTATTTTTTATCCCCTTTAAATTTTGAATTTTCCTTTTCTTTTACACTCTCCACCAGCAGATTTCACTGTTACCCTTTACAATTTTCTTTGCATTCCCCCAGGATTTTTATTTATTGAATCCCTCACCTATTCTGTGCTATTCCAGGTAATTTTTATGCCCCTCCAGGTATTTTTTACCCCCTTTAAATTTTAATTTCTCTTTTCCTTTTCCACCAATTTCTCAATTTCCCTGCACGCTTCCCTTCCCCTTCCCCCGTATTTTTTTTCCTGACTCCCCCACCTATTCCTCACCTGTCCAGCTCCATTCCTGACCCTCCCCAGGTATTTTTTATTCCCTTTAAATTTTAAATTCTCCTTTCCTTTTCCTCCAATTTCTCAATTTCCCTGCACACTTTTCTTTCCATTTCCCCAGGAATTTTTTTTATTGATTCCCCCACCTATTCTGTGCCCTTCCAGGTAATTTTTATGCCCCTCCAGGTATTTTTTACCCCCGTTAAATTTTAATTTCTCCTTCCCTTTTCCTCCAATTTCCCTGCACGCTTCCCTTCCCCTTCCCCCGTATTTTTTTTCCTGACTCCCCCACCTATTCCTCACCTGTCCAGATCCATTCCTGACCCTCCCCAGGTATTTTTTATCCCCTTTAAATTCTGAATTTTCCTTTCCTTTCACACCCTCCACCAGCAGATTTTACTGCTTCCCTTTTAGATTTTTTTTTCTATTTCCCCAGGAATTTTTTTATTGATTCCCCCACCTATTCTGTGCCCTTCCAGGTAATTTTTATGCCCCTCCAGGTATTTTAACCCCCTTTAAATTTTAAATTCTCTTTTCCTTTTCCACCAATTTCTCAATTTCCCCGCACGCTTCCCTTCCCCTTCTCCCGTATTTTTTTTCCTGACTGCCCCACCTATTCCTCACCTGTCCAGCTCCATTCCTGACCCTCCCCAGGTATTTTTTACCCCCTTTAAATTTTAATTTCTCCTTTCCTTTTCCACCAATTTCTCAATTTCCCTTCACGCTTCCCTTCCCCTTCCCCCGTATTTTTTTTCCTGACTGCCCCACCTATTCCTCACCTGTCCAGCTCCATTCCTGACCCTCCCCAGGTATTTTTTATCCCCTTTAAATTTTAATTTCTCCTTCCCTTTTCCTCCAATTTCCCCGCACGCTTCCCTTCGCCTTCTCCTGTATTTTTTTTCCTGACTGCCCCACCTATTCCTCACCTGTCCAGCTCCATTCCTGACCCTCCCCAGGTATTTTTTTACCCCCCCGGGGGCTCACCCAGTCGGCCGTGCAGAAGTTGACGGCCTCGGCGAAGTTGTAGCCCTGGTTGAAGCCGCTGTGGTAGGCGCGGGGGAAGGTGATGACGAACTCGCCCGCGCATTGGTTGGTCCTGACCACCTGGTGGGCAACACACCTGAGTCCCTCACCTGGGCCGGCCACAAAAAGGGGGCGTGGCAGAGCCCTGGGGACACGGCCAAACTCACGGGGACCCCGTGGGCCATCAGGGTGTTGGGGTTCATGAGGGTGACGAGCTGGTGCAGGAGGTCGGGTTGGCTCTCGAAAAGCTCCGGCGTCAATTTTTTCATCACCTCCTCCAGGTGCTCGGCCGCGAATGAAGGGACCCCGTACCACGTCTTGGGTTCGCCCCTGAGGGGTGGGACACCCC